TATCTTGTGAAGGTCAATGTGACACTTAGACACAATGCATTTATTTCAATATTTTGTGTCCGTTCTGTATCATGTAAAGCAATTTTAGAAAATTTAACCTATTTGGCAGAAATATTTTTATTACTGTGGTGATGGAAAAAGCGCAGAATTGGGCTTCCTCGGGTGAAGGTCACAGTGTATCTTTAATTCAGTCATCAACGCTGTACAAACGTTTAAAAGAGTTGTTTACGTGACGTCACAATGTAGCGCCAAATATCGCGTGCAAACCAAGACGCATCTATAAATAATATATAACTGCTCTCTGTACAATTGCAGCAAGCAAGGTGGTTGGTAACCATTTTTCTTTGATAATGAATATAAAAGGTTATTTTTTCGTTTTTCGTAAAATATGGTGTATATTTTCACTCAACATGATAAAATGCCTCATATTTTCAAAAAAATATGTGACATTTTATCATGTTTCGTAAAAATGTATTCCATATTTCTCTCAAACGAAAAAATATCCTCTTAGTATTAAAAAACACACAATATTATGCCTAAGAATAATAAAAAATCCAAAATGTTATGCTTTCAAATAATTTTCTTTTTCTACATGTATTACACCCCTTAACATTTATAACATTAATACTCACACAAATATTTATCTTATGTTTGTTATTTGTATAAAACTGGTAACTCTACTTTAATAAAGCCAACAAAGTGACGGTACAAGCTCAAAATATATGCTCTGCAAGTTGTGGGTATGAGGAAAAAACATTGAAGACATGAATACAACATAAATATGTGTTTTAATGTATAATGAACATGTACAACATCAGTTTTAATTAAATCACATAAAACCATGATATTCTCAATAATTATAATCTAAACAGAAAACAAATCTAAGAATATATAATTTGATAAACACGCCATAACAAAATAGATTCTTGGAAATAAAGGGAGGTAGCATACATATATACTGACAGGAAACATATCAATAAATCCATTCTCCATTTGTAACATACATGCGTATAAACAAAAAAAAAAAGAATTTGAGTCACTGTGACCTTCACCCGAGGAAGCCCAATTCTGCGCTTTTACCACCACAGTAATAAAAATATTTCTGCCAAATAGGTTAAATTTTCTAAAATTGCTTTACATGATACAGAACGGACACAAAATATTGAAATAAATGCATTGTGTCTAAGTGTCAAATTGACCTTCACAAGATACAGATCGAACACAAAAACTCCTATATAAGTCTATACAAATCAATTAATCCCCGGGGCAAATTTTGATTTCAAGAAGCCCGAAACTGTGTTCTGCACATCGTCTCATTATAATTGATATTTCTGCCGAACAGTTTTAATTTTCATTTTGGTTAAATTAGTTCCAACACAAAATTTTGAAATTATTGCAAAATGACTGAGTATGACATGTCAAACCTCCGCAAATCATCTCATTATGGTAAACTTTTCTGTCCAGTAAATTTAATTTCCTTCCACCGGTTCAAAAGATACAAGACCGGACACGAAACCTGATTGCAAACGGACGGACAGGCAACTATACCAATATACGCCAAAATGTTTCTTCGATATAGAAGAGTTTTGACCAGATTGTTTTAGATCGATTTCTATAAAAGCATTGAATTTATTGTGCCACTCTTCAGTCCGCTTATTGACATTTGTCGACAGATCTCGTTAATGATATTTTATGGCTTCATATAATTAAGATGTAAAATTAAAAATGAAATTCACCTATAATTTAGCTTTTTAGATTTTTATCATATATTTTTATTTATCGTTGAAAATTAGGATATAATAATTGTCTCTTGAAAGGAGTTAAAATTTATCAATTTCATACATTTACATAACCTGAAATTTTGTCAAAATAAATTAACCCAAAAAAATCTTAACGTCATAAAAGTAGCACCCTTGTAAACTGATGCGGTTATCAGTTGTATTGATATGCACAATAATGTGTGAAGAAATTTGACTACAGACTTTAAAATCAAAAACTTGATTTTTGCGACTTGATAAAATTGGTTTTGCAAGGCCATGTATATATTTTGACGTAACGTCATTTGCATTATACAAACAAACTGTAGCGTTTAGACATACTGTAGCTAAATGATAACGTAACACTATTTATCCTGTTTCTGTCTATTTTATCAGCTGGATAAAACCTTGCCTATCTCCAGTCATTACATCGTATGATGACGTCACATGGTTAGTAGCAAAACAAAACTACATAATTATGTTTACAAGAAAATATGTGGGTATTTTTCGCTTTATTTTCGTTGTTTCCATGCACTTCGATTGATATCAACTATCTTAATTACATGGTTTTCGGTGGTTTATAGAAGTATATCATTGGAATGTAAAACTGAAATTTTACTGTTTGTAACAGTGAAAATATCAATTTGATATTTTCCACTGTTTTAAATTTAACCCGTTGCATTGTTTCAGTGATAGACCAACTTAATGATGTGACGTCGAAAATGAAGTCATGTTGTATTTTTTATTTAGTATTACGTTAAAATGTCCTAAACGTTTCTTTGCATATAATAAAAAGAAAAATTGTTAAGTGTAAGATCGAAATATTTGACATCGTGAAAACAAAAAGTTCATATTGAGTTACTCAGGGCTCAATTTTAGGACCCCTATTGTTTCTTATTTTTATAAATGATATTGTCGTTGACATTTTGCTGACGATACCAGTTTATATATTGTTGTTGAAAACCCAAATGCTGCTGCAAAACTCCTCCAATGTGATATCCTAAAAATAACAGAATGGGCCGATACGTGGTTAGTTAACTTTAATCCGAATGCCAATTGCTAAGTAGAAAAATTCATCAGCAAAACCACCCATCTCTAAACATGCATGGCCAAATTATATCGGAGGTAGAACACCACAAACATCTGGGTATCATTCTGTCAAATGACTGCTCTTGGCACGAACATATTAACTTTATAGTAAATAAAGCATGGAAACGGGTTCACATTATGCGTAGACTGAAATTTATTCTTGATAGGAAATCTCTTGAAGTAATATACACCTTTTTCATCCGACCAATTCTAGAATATGCTGATGTTATATGGAATAATTGCTCTATGGCTGAAAAGGATATGCTTGTGCTCGTATTGTATTGGGAGCAACCAAACTGGTCTCTCTCGATAATCTTCAACAGGAAGTGAATTGGTCATCCCTAGAAGAGGGACGACGCGTTCACAGGCTTATAATGTTCTATAAGATGATAAATGGTCTTGCACCAGAATATCTAACAAATCTCGTTCCCCCAAATAATGGATCAACGTCTTCGTACAACCTTCGAAACCCAGATCAGTTGAGACCTGTACATTCCCGAACTAACCAATATTACAATTCTTCTTACCCGTGACAATTCGCGATTGTAATAACCTATCAACAGATGTAAGAAATTCTCCCACTTTAAAAGTTTTTAAAAGTAAAGTTATGCCAGTCGGTGATAGTACGCTTGCTTATTTTTACAGCGGATCACGAATGGCACAGGTCTTACATGCTAGGCTTCGCATGAATTGTAGCAAACTAAATCATTACCTTTTCACTCGTAATATAGTCCATTCTCCCCTTTGCCATTGTGGACAACCTGAAAACAACTATCACTATCTTCTCGAATGCCACTTTTATAGTTGCCACCGTACATGCCTTCTTACAAAAGTGCGTCAAATCACTCAAAATGTCTCTCTTCATACTCTTCTTTTTGGGGATGTTTCTCTTTCTCAATCAGACAATACGGATTTAATTCTGGCCGTCCAAAAATACATAATGGATAGTGGGTAGTTTGCATGACGAGTAAATGTTGCAAAGTACTGTCTACGACTTAACAATTACTCTGGTAAACACTTTAAAAAATAGTTTTTATACTGTCTAAGTGCTAAAAAATCATTTGTCTCTTCATCTCTAAACGTTGGTTTTCATCTTAATATTCCTTCTTTTTTCTATTTCTTTATTTTTTTTTCTATTAATATATTATATTAAAATATCTATCAATTAAAATAATGCAAGAGCCTTACCACATAACCTAGTTTTGTGTATTTTTTCAAAAATATTTTGTATACAATCAATAGAAGCGGTTGTGGTACACATTTGTTATATGCTCTTTGCTTGCTCATCTACCAGCCATGTATTAGTTTTATTGTAATTTATCAATAATGGAGATTGACTTTAATAAGCACCTAGTGTTTCCATCAAAATCCATTGCGTGTATTATGTTAGTATGGTTATGAAACTGTATGTATAATGTATGATTAAAATATATGCAATAAATATGTTTAAACCAAAAGTTCATATTTCACTCGTGGCTGCGCAACTCATGAAATATATCTTCTGGTGCTTACTCGGTGGAATATATTTCGATCTTACACAGAACTAAAGAACGAACTATCCTGTATTTAATAAATATTCAAGACAATGAAACATATGAAAACCCATTTATTACACTCATAACTGCATGAAAACTACTGTTATTTAAAATTTCTATTTTTACGTTTCTTCAAATTTTGCGCAATTTCACCCACTGTATATACAAAAAAATCGATTTTGCAGTAATTTTTAATAAGATCTATGATTCTCTCATTATGTTTTGTTAAATTAAAGTGACATTATGTTCATATTTTCAAAGTCAAGTTGAGCTGAATTGACTTTATATTTCAAAAAGATTGACTGTCAAAATGTTGTTTGACCAACAGTTGATATTGAAAATGTTTAGGATAAAATTATAAATCTGCCTAAATTTAAAAAAGACTGCCCCACTCTTTTTATAAAATAAGCCTTAAAGGTAAATTCTAATGGATATTTACAGAAATTTTATTTGGATCTGCGCGTTATTTATTGTTCATGTGAACTTAATTATTAAATTAAAAGGAATTATGGCCAAATGAAAACTGAATTTGATATTCACCCGTTCACTCACTATAAACCTTTGGATGTGCATAATGTCACTTTAAAGAATGTAGAAATAACTTTATTTTTCATATCAGATTCTACTACGGGGACCACACAAAATATAACTAGTACAGACATTATTAAGCTTATAACAGAAATTGAAGACATCGAAGAGCAGCAAAAGCAAGCTATATATAAAAGATTGGAGGATAAGCGGACTAAAGAAATTGCGGACCTGAAGAAGTTACGACAACAAGAAGGTTTGAGCATTAGATCTACTTAATATGAAAAGTTTTCAGAATATGAAATCAACATAAATGAAACACACAGTCACGAATTAAATATAATTTTATGTTATCAGCAGTTTGGCATCTCTTTCAAATATATATTATTAGTTTTTTATTAAATGCTGTGATTTTTGGCATACTGTGTGATTCGTTAAAAAGAACTCATGATTATATTAGAATTGAATATACCAAACAAAGTATGTCATTGTCATTAAATTTCAGAGCGGGTTGGTCATTTTTTCGTCATATATATTTTACATATTGCCGATCAAAAGAGGCTTTTTTGTTCTGATGATTGAAATTTTACTAGTATAAACTAACAGTGCTATTGTAGTATCAAAAGTAAAAGTCTTGCGTTATACGAATCCGAGCAATATGTCAACTGTTTTATATTTTATATCATAGTTATAAAATCTATTGGTATAACGAAATGTTTTGTCTTGAAACTGTCCTATATGGTTGAGTAAAATATCTACACCTTTAATGTTCTTAAACATTTCACAGCAAAAAATATCTATCTATCATAAGGTAATCTTCTTTCCTTTGATATAAGGTGTTAGATGGTTGTTTCTGTTTTTATCATATGTCCAATCTTTTGTATGTTTGTCTGTGATGGGGTATACTTTGTTCGTATGTGCGGCATTATTACATACATATGACTGTTCTGCGCCTTAGGTAAATGACGGCAAGTTATAAGCCATCTATTATTTTTATAGCTTTTATTCAAAATTAAACAGTCTTAACAAACTTTGTTTCTTACACAACTTGGTATCGGGAACAATGACACCAGGGTGGGTTATGATTCTTATTGTAGCTGTCTTGATCAAAAATTATTACCCCTGACTTAAAACGTTCTACATTATGGATACTGTGCTTGCACCTTACTTTTTTATCAGACTAAAAAACCACAGTTGATGTATAAAAAATAGAGGAAAAAACAACAAAACAACAATACCGAAGCATTAAAGTATTCTTTTTATATTCTTATTATAACATACTGAAATGTTCTCCTGATACTCAAAGCCTGTCCACGAAATATCAGAAGATATGGTGACAAAATATCAATTTGTTAATCATATTCTATAATCTATTTAGGTATAAGATTCGGAACCTCTTTTCTGAAGAATATGTATTTTACTGAGGAAAAATAGTTTAAATAGAGCGTGGGTTCAACCTCACTTGGCACTGGAGGGAGCATTATTTTTTTCACTTTTTTCTTTTTAGGTTATAGTCAAATTTTAGTTTCCTTTCTTTTTCTTCTGAGAAAGAATCTTCAGTTAAGAGATACTGGCAGTTTGGTGTATACGTTTTTGTATGAACTGAGATAAAATATGGTAGCTTAAGCATTTAAAATTGTTTTATTGCCAAATCCAGATGATTATCCGCCTTCTTTTTGTGCCCCTAAAGTGTGTGTGTGTGTGTGGGGGGGGGGGCATTTAGATTTACCCTTGTCCGTTCGTCTGTCGATCCGTCCGTCTGTTCTCATTTTGTGTCGCATGTAACTCAAAAAGTATTTAACGTAGATTCATGAAACCTTCAGCAATGTTGCTCAGCATGTCTAGTTGTGCACCTGGGTATTTTGGTGTTGATCTATTTTGTATATTTTTAGAGTCACTTACTTGACTTACTAAACATTTGCCATTTTCAACTTGTGTCACACATAGCCTACAGTCATGAAACTTACAGGAATGTTGATCAGCATGTGAAGTTGTGCACCTGGGGTTTTGTATGTGAATTTATATGTTTTGTCAGAGTAATTGCCCTTGACTTAGTATAAATTTTTAATTTTCAACTTGTTCATGCTCAAAAAGTATTGACCTGTAGGCCTGAAAGTTTACAAGAATGTTGGTCAGCATGTGTACTTAAGTCCCTTGGGGTTTGCTTGTTGGTTTATTTAGTTTTTGTAAAGTTCTTGCCCTTTACTTAGTAAAAGATTTTTAGTTTTCAACTTGTGGCACATGTAGCCCAAAAATATTTGACTTTGAGTCATAAGATTGACAAAACGATGGAGTGTGGGGGCACCCGTGTCCTATGGACACATTTTTAGTTATAAAATGCTTAAAATTGTAAGTGGATGATAATAGAGATACTCCTTCAGGATGGGATGAAAAATCTGACATTGTTTGGACCAGTCTTTTTTCTATTCAATCAAAATTGACAGATACCCGTTTCAGTTTACTAAAATCAGTTTTATATTTTATTATTTCAAAACGTTTATATTTTCTAAAGGTCGATAAAAACTAAACAAGTTTAACTGATGAAAAACACATGTGTTGTTGTTGTTTATAAAATTGATACAATTTCATACTTGAACGGAAGATAGCAAGAGTACCGTAAAATAAAATAAAAGGGTGAAGTGGTTATTGTTCCTAAAAATGAGACTGAATCAGACTTAGATGTTCACCTATTAGATTGTTGCCTATAGTCTTGAAAGATCTTTCTTTTTCTGAATTTTTATTAATGCAATGAATGCGACAATTATATATAAACATGTGTTTGGGTTTATGTGTTTCTGTAATTGTGAAAAACAGTGAAGAAATAACTCTCTTAAATATTATCCTTTCCAAGGAGCAAAATCGGTTTCTGACCCTGTTGTTTTTTCGTTGTCACTCTATTATTATTATTTAAGTTTACTCATGAAATATGGTGCTATATCAACCAAATATTTATCATATTTGTGAAAAAACAAATATGAAAAATAAATATGAAAGTTGGTGGAGCCAAGACTCCTATTATATTTTGGACTTCTTTCTGATATTCAGTAGATTCAGCTATTCATTTTATCATCGGAAATTATCTGTTTATGTTTTTCAAAACTGTTCATGATGGCCATGATAAAGTGTCGTCTGCATTTGAACCATGTCAGCCACCAATAATTAATCAATGTATTACTGTGCGCTGTACAATTGCAACTTCATAGGAAATAAGTGTTTTTGTCAAGAACCTTTTTCCTTAAAGGTAAAATTGAATAACAAAGTTTTCGTTTTTCGAAAATTATGGAATATATTTTCACTTAACATGATAAAATTCTATATATTTCACTCACTGTTTCGGCCTTTGAAAATATATGGGATTTTATCATATTTCGTGAAAATATGTTCAATATTTCACTCAAAAGAAAAATATCCTTGTAATATACGTCATCAATTAACGTTCCCACATTTTCTCAATACGTTACGTCATTAAATATCTTCATAATTGTTGATTCCAACACGACAATTTTCCCTATTGAACATAGAAGGACGGCAAATGAGCGTTATTTAAGAAATAATAATAATAATTATAATCACTGTTTGAAGTTCGGATGCGAGAAATTATATCACGAGGGCGTAGCCCGAGTGATATAATGATGCACATTCGAACGACAAACAGTGATCTTATCAAACGATGAAATTACCGATTTGGATATATTATTTTGATTTACAAATAAATGCTGCATACCTGATTTTGTTACTGTACTTAATTTAAGCGCATCGAATTTTTAATGGTTACGTCAGATGTATAATGGTTACGTCACATGTCTAAATATGAAACGTCAACAGTATTTTTATTGCATAATAGCACACACTTTAGGTTTTTTATGTTCAATAGGGAAAAGTGCGGGCCGTGTTAGAATATCCAATAAATTCACTGTTGACATTCTATATTAAGACATGTGACGTAACAATTAGACATGTGACGTAACCGCTAAAAATGCGACGCGATTTGACTTGATATCAGGTACAGCAGAGTTTATTTGTTGATGTCTTGTTAGAATCGAAATAATATAGTTATAATATTTTATATATGTCGTTCGGATGCGAATCATTATATCACTCGGGTTACGCCCTTGTGATATAATTCCTCGCATCCGAACTCCAAACAGTGATTTTATTTAGTGATAAAATCACTATTTGGGATATAACTCTATTATTTCTTAATTACAATTTCGGCTGATGATATCAACAAAAGCATTGAAATGCTTCCGAAATAATTAAAATTATGGCGTTTGTTGTTATCTCTTAAATATTTGTAAGAAATAGATCTTAATTTTGAATGCTCTATGTTATAAATAGCACGGTATGGAGTTCAAATGCGCAGTAACATACTCACGATGGTCGTGATCGTTTGATAATTAAACTGATTCAAGTATTAAGCACATCTTATGATAAATTGCAATAAGAAAATTACATTCATACTCATCTTATCTATAAGATAAAGAATAAAGATAGAAATAGACGCCGCGACAATACCAACTTCCTGTACGTAACCGTTTTGCTATATCCTTTTCCCGATATGGAATTATAAATCCCGAAATGGAGTTATCAATCCCGAAATCGGATTTTCAGTGAATTTCTGTTATCTGACGGGTGGATTTTATTAAGATATCATATAAAACATGAAATGGACTATTTCGAAAGTAAAAATCTAGTAGATGACCCTTATTGCTTTCACGTCACTAGTTCGAAGGTCAAAGTCACAGGAGCCTTAAATGTCAGAATGGTTTCCCCATATTATCTTGAAAACTATTTATCACAAAGCCTTCATATTTCACATACTGATTGGTCATAACTAGTAAGTGACCCCCATTGATTTTAGGATTACTATGTCAAAGTTCAAGGTCACAGGGTCCTTGAATGGTAGTATGGTTTCCGCTCATTATCTTGAAAGCTATTTTTCACAAAGTCTTCATATTTCTTATATTTATTGGTCATAACTATTAAATGACCCTTATTGATTTTTGGTCACTAGTTCAAAGGTCAAGGTCACAGGGGCATAAAATGTCAGAATGGTTTCCGCTATTTTTCTTGAAAACTATTTCAAAGTCCTTATTATTTTTCTTTTTTTTCCATAACTGAACACTTCAATGTTTCCATTTAGGGCAAGTTTCTGTAGCAAAATAACCAATAATCTGAGTCAACAGCTAGAAAGGGGGGGCATATGTTTAGTTCGACATTTCTTGTTATAATTTCTTTCATAAGGAGCTCGCTTTGAGGCTTCGCCTTATTCATATCATTTTCAAACGAAATACAAACTATTTATAGCGAAATAAAAGTGATATTTAACTGTTTTGCAACATTGAAATAGCGTTCTTTTTTTGACGGTTATTGCACATGCTGTTTGGCACTGCATAGTAGTGACGCCACGTAAATTTAAAATATCTGTACAGTGTTAAAGACTTAATTAAAGATATTGGTGTTCGGATTTATTTTCTTAGTTAGACCGTTTTCTAATATTCTAGACAGTTTTTAGAGCAAAATTCAAAAAGAAAACCCTGTGCATTGTGGTAGTATAACGCACGTTACCGGTCTACTTTGTTAATATAGAAAATTGCCGATAGTCTTAGAAGTTTTATTTCAACACTGTGCAAGGAACGTTTATCATATTTTTAACCAGGTTTACAACGAAAATCGGGTTATTGTAATACCGAAGTCGGCGGGCGGTCGAGCTGGCAGGCGGGAGGGCGTCAACTTTTGGTTTCCGCTCAATAACTTGAGCTTGCTTTGGCCTATTGACACCAAACATGGTGTGTAGGTAGTTTATATCAAGGAGCAGCTTGGAATTGTTACCAAGGTGTCTGTGATCAAGGTCAAGGTCACTGTTACTAAAATAGAAATTTCAATTTCCGCTAATAACTTGAGTTTGCTTTGCCCTATTGAAACCAAACTTTGTGTATGAATAGCTTATATTAAGAGGCAGCTAAAAATTGCTACCCAGGTGACTGTATTCAAGGCCAAGGTCACTGTTACTAAAAATAGAAATTCAATTTCCGCTCAATAACTAGAGTTTGCTTTGGCCTATTGGCACCAAAGTTGGTGTTTAGGTAGCTTATATCAAGAGGCAGCGTGCGATTGCTACCCAAGTGTCTGTGATCAAGGTCACTGTTACTAAAATAGAAATTCAATTTCTGCTCAATAACTTGAGTTTGCTCTGGCCTTTTGTCACCAAAATTGATGTATTGGTAGCTTATATCAAGAGGCAGCTTGGGATCGATATCAAGGTGTCTGTGATTAAGGTTAATGTATACAGTTTTCACGTGATAACTTGAGTTTGTTTTGACCTTTTGACACCAAACTTGTGACTGCTTTGGATTGCCACTTAGATATCTGCGAGCAAGGTCAAGGTCATCTGCTTACAATAAAATTCTCAGCTTCTTCACAATAATTTCAGTGCACTTTGACCTATTGATTGCAATGACATCAAAACTTGGTCGTTGAAAACCTGGTTTTGGTCGTATTACGGCGCTTCTTGTAGTGATATTAACGAGGCAAAGCCTCAAAGCGAGCTCTTTGACAGAAATTATAGTACAGTCGAGACTGCCTTAGCGACCCCCTGATTTTAACGACTCCCTGTCTTATCCGACCTTGTTTGGTTTATACAAATTTATTTTAGTTTGATTGTGTTGGAAGCTGTAAGCTTATTGAAACACTCTCTACCTTGTTTCAGTCCTCCCAACATATTTTTCTATATAAATGGTCTTAATTATAGGACCTCGATGTAAAGGCTGTAGGGGCTATTTCCGGGAAACGCTGAACAACAGTGGTTATGAAAAACTGTTGTTGTTGGAGGCTGCATCTCGGCCTTACGTCTCAATATTTATTTGGTAAAGTAAGACCCTGGATGTCGCCCATGACCATTTCCCCATTACAGTCTAGTCGCTTTTCTATGAATATAATTTATATTGATTGAAAAAGATCAGTATAAAAGATGTTATTTTAGCCAAAAGCATAAAAGGACGCAATATATCAATAGAAATGCTCTTATTTGGCGACCAAGCGTCATTTCATGAACGTTATGACATTGTTATACTTAAAAGGTTTTGCGTGGGTATTAGGGTACTGTGTCGATGAGGGAGGCCTAAAATAACTTTAAACTACCATGCATAGTTTTATGCCCTTTTCGCCATAATATGAAAACAGATATTTGTCTTCATACGTTTCTTAAAAAGAAATACTTTAATCAAACAACATCTGAAATAGATATTAAATGACTTTGAAAAAAAAAACGTTAATAACATATGTGATAAATTTGTAGACAGTTAATCACTCGTTTAAACATCATTGAATAAAATAACTGCAATAACTGGGTCGTTTATATCTTTTGACATATTTCAAGACTGACACATTTCGTGTACCAATTATGTTGATATTTCAGGGTCAAGTGTGGTCAAAATTCGAAATGCAGCAAGTATCAACCAACAACGAAGTGATTCAGTTTGTTCTCAAGGTGAGCCAATCTATGTACATGTGTTTTTTTATTCTGCCAATTTCTTGGATATTAGAAATGATAGTAAATAAGCATATATAATCAAAATAAGGTTTTCCTATAAAAAAAGTGAAGGAATAAATACCCCTTGTAAGTAAACAATCGTATATGAAAAATATATTTGCTTATGAGACTCTTACTTTCAGATCTCCGATGTGATAAAAAGACTAAGACTGTTTTTGATAAAAAAAATATCGTTTTTATCCAGCAAAGGAAATTTGTTCAACACAAAAAGGGCAGATAACTAAAATGGCCTTGACATTTGCAAATTTTCTAAAATCAATTAACAATGGCACATATACACGCTTAAAGATGTCATTTATCTTGTTCTGTCAAATTTTACAGGATCAAACATGATGTAGTTAATTGAAATAAGGTATGCGGATGAATAAATCTCGCAGTACGACTAACTATACCTGCAAATGTAAACGATGTTATTAACATTGTCAAACGAGTTTTATTGGTCAGGAACTAGCAAAGTTTGTGAATTTACTAATTACCAGTTAAAATCCTGTCTTAAAAAACAATTTATCGATTTTTTTAAATACTGTAAAAACGAAATAATAATGTTTTTTAAGTTGTTGCTAAATTTCTGGCACCAGACTGACTGTAATGAATTTGTATATACATCGCATGAACGTATGCGAGTATGTTTTTAATTCAAATGTACCGTAAGGTCATAAGTAAATATTACATTCTGCTAAAGGTGGTGAAAGGAGGAAGGCGTAGACGTAATACTGGAAGCTTGAACATACCACCGCCGACTATGAACAATGTCAATAAACCGAGCCTGTAGACTTGTGGTTTTTGCCCCTTTACTAGTTCATCTTACAATCAGTCTGAAATCTCTCTCAGATCAATGTGCTTGAGACTTGCATATACTGTTATGCTTGCGTTTGCCATAACAGGCTGTTGCAGTTTGCAGTCAGTTGAGCAATATAAAGGTCATGATTTTCAAGTTGTATTTGAAGACCCTTAACTTAAGGAAATACACATCAAGATATTTGTCTACGTATATTTTATAAAAAAAAATGCTTAAATAAAAAAAAAACTTAAATAAAACATGTATTAAATAACATAAAAATACGTTGAAGGCCATTCAACACGACATCATTGTTGCGTTTATTGTATTTTTGGTTTCTTCTACAATTGTTTTTGATTTACATCTTGTTCCGTGGTTCGAGTACTTTTTACTTGAATATTGTTTAATCACCCTTAGGATATGTTGCCGGTTTTTAATCCCCTTCCGCATAGCAGAAAGGGTATTATAGGAATGGTCTCCGTATGTCTGTCCATCTTTCTGTCCGTCCGTAACACAATCGTGTCCGCTCCATAACTTTTAAACCGCTTAAGATTTTGAAATAACTTGGCACAAGTGATCACCATAATCAGACGATGTGCAGAGCGCAATAATTGAGTTGCTACCCCAAGGGTCAAGGTCACAGTCAAAGGTCAAATGTTAAGATGTCTTCATTTCATAATAAAAAGTCTACATTTCGTGTCCGCTCCATAACTTTTAAACTGTACACTTTTTTAATTACTTGGCACAAGTGATCACCATAATGAGACAATGTGCAGAGACCATTTCCGAGAAATTCAAACCACCACTGAATATGATGGGATCGTAGACAGGTGTAATAAACTACCCGTCTAAAAACGACTAAACGAAATAACTGGAATAATTTGATCTTTATTGATAATGACATATTTCAATTTAAAAAATGTATGTATCACTTATTTTAATGTTTCAGAGTCGAGTTCGGCAAATAATCAGATTGCACCTGGTCCCGCTAAACTATCAAAAACAACGGCTCTACTTAACACTGAAAGTGAAGGTGAGTCAATTGATCTACATGTAATTTTTTCTTTGAATACAATATCCCGGACATTAGCCTTTTTTCACCAAAAGTTTTGAAGTAAATAAATATCCCTAAAGAAATAAATGGTATAGTAAACGATATGTACACATATAAAAATTTCAAATATCTGATGCACGTGTGCACGGTCATGAATCGGCTCGAGCTCGTTTTTATGAAACAATCGTTTTACTATTTTTTATTCAGCTAAGCACTTTTTTTATTAAATTCACATCCAAACGGGGCAGTAAGCTAAATTCAAATTGATTATGGCATGACTATTCCGCGGAACAGTTGCATTTATATCCTAAGTATACATACAAGCTAAAATTTCCGTGTTCATTTAATATTCACATTATCAAAATAACGCATTGAAATAAAGAAACTTAAGTTAGCGCTCTTATGCACGTTACGCTTATCGTTCTTTAAACGTTTCGTTGTAAACGTCACATCCTGTTTACTTTATTTTTACATATTACAATTAAGGTACGCACCTGGAAAAATGTACATTCCTATACTACATTATTACGATTCTCGATACTGGTTCCGTGAACAAAATTCAACAAAATGGAAAGAATTAGTCTTACTAGAGAGGGGCCATATAAGATCAAACGCCGACATCATTCATCACGGTTTTACAAAACATCTGTTTGGAATTGCAAGTCAAAAATATTGATCAGAAAATTGAAGAAATTATTTTTAGCATTCTGATATTGAAAATATAATTCTGCAAACATAGGAATAAACATTGGATATAGACATAAAAATAAGTAGTCGGTAAGATTACAGAAAATCTAGGGAAACAATCCAGACAACCCAGATGGAGACTTACACCGACACACCAGCGAGCAATCCCCTCTACTGATGCCTGGTATACAGACTTTCCAACAAGTTAAATATTTCCTATGTCTAATAAACTTCCGAAATTATCGTTTCAAACAATTGCTGGGGACTTATTTCAGTGGCAGTCTTTCTGGAATTTTTATGATTCATCCGTGCATAATAACCCATCCCATAGATGTAAAGAAATTAAATATTTGAAAACTCAGATAGAGGGAACAAAAATAACATTAGGGCCACTAAAATGTCCGTCGACAATGCATTGCCAAGCGACTTACAAGTGTCAAGAAAGTTATGTACCTTATCTTTTTTTTCAAATCCTGTGGAACTGTTCTTAATTCCTGTTTCTAGAGTCCGTTCTACCACATCCAAGTTCTAGAGATATCGTGTTAAAAAGAAAATGGAAAAGTACTTCAATAAAGTTCGTCATTCGATTGGTTTGAAAGGCCTGTATTTTCTGCATGACAATGCTGCTGCACACAAAGTAGTTACTGTAATTGATTTTTTTAGGAAAACAAGGCACTGTCCTTTTACACCCATCTCATTCTTATCTTTCATTGTCTAAAACCCTTAAAGCAGTTATTGCTGCAAAGTTTGGTCGTCCTTTTTCAATTATTTAAGGGTTTATCTATGGAGGACTATGTTTAAAAATTTGTTTTGTTAACTTGGTTGCCCATACTGTATTAGATATTGACCCACACAACTCTTTTTTCTCAGCTATTATGTGCCAGCCCCTCAAAACATCGAAAACGAAAGTAAAAAGATGTAAGTAGATTTCACCCGAGGTTATGTTTCAACTTATTTCTCCATCATAACTAAATCGATTTTTCCAAACTAAACAATTTTGTAACTCAAGTTGATGGGGGAACACTCAAAAACAAATAGAGGGAAGTCTATATTTTGTATCAAAGCAGCAGTTTGATACAGAAAATGTGTTTTGGGCTTGATTTAGTGGTAAATATCAACACCGTTCGCAAATGTCAACAAATACGCTACATTCTATCACCAATTTGATAAAAAGTATTCAATTTGCAGAAAAAAGCAAATACTTCTCTAAAACCAGATGTATTCAGCTTCACAAAATTATTTAGTTTGGAAACATCGATTAAGTGATGATTGAGAAATAAGTTGAAACATTACCTCGGTTGAACTTGATGTAAACCTTATTACTTTCGAATACGTTTTATGGGCTATTTCCGGGGAATGCTGTACAACAGTGGTTATGAAGAACTTTTGTTGTGGGGGCTGCATCTCGGCCTTACGTCTCAATATTTATTTGGTAGAGTAAGACCCTGGATGTCGCCCATGACCATCATATTTCCCCTATTACAGTCTAGTCGCTATACTATAATATGAAATTATATTGATTGAGAAAGATAAGCATAAAATATGTCATTTAAGTCAAAAGCATAATAGGACGCAACATATCAATAGAAATGCTTTTATTTGGCGACCAAGCGTCATTTCATGAACGTCAGGACATTGTTATACTTAGAAGGGTTTGCTTGGGCATTAGGATACTCTGGCGATGAGGGAGGCCTAAAATAACTTTAAACTACCGTGCATAGTCTTATGCTCTTTTGCGGCATAATATGAAAAAAGATATTTGTCTTCATACGTTTATTTAAAAGAAATACATTTGGAATATATATTAAATAACTTTGAAAAAAAGGTTAATAACATATGTGATAGTTTTAAGTGTACTTCTTGTTTACTTTAAGTACATTGTTTGACTTAACGAAAGTCAAATTCATAAATATAAATTTGTAGACAGTTATCCACTCGTTTAAACATCATTAAATAAACTGCAATAACTGGGTCATTTATATCTTTTGACATATTTCAAGACTGACACATTTCGTGTACCAGTTATGTTGGTATTTCAGGGTCAAGTGCGGACTATATTCAAAATGCAGCAAGTATCGTCCAACTACGTAGTGATACAGTTTGTTCTCAAGGTGAGCCAATCTATGTACATGTGTTTTTTATTCTGCCAATGGCTACTATAGAAATGATAGTAAATAAGCATATTTAATCAAAATAAGGTTTTCGTTTATGTGGCTATTTTCTTTTGTGTGGCTAAAAAGAATAATACAGAGAGTAGCCACATAATTAATGTCCCGTTAGCACATCCGTCCGTCCGTAACACTTTCGTGTCCGCTTTATAACTTTTAAACTGCTTAAGTTTTTTAAATAACTGGGCACAAGTGATCACCATAATGAGACGATGTGCAGAGCGCAATAATTGGGTTGCTACCCCCAAGGTCAAGGTCACACTCAAAGGTCAAATGTAAAAATGTCTTTATTTCATAATAAAAAGTCTTCATTTCGTGTCCGCTTCATAACGTTTGAACTGCTACCATTTTTTTTTTAAAAAAACTTGCCACAAGTGATCACCATAATAAAATAATGTGCAGAGCGCAATAATTGGGTTGTTAACTCCAAGGTCAAGGTCAAACTTAAAGATCAAATGTTAAAAATTCTTCATTTCATAAGAAAAAGTCTCCATTATTTGTCCGCACCATAACTTTTTAACCGCTGAAGTTTTTAGAAAATAACTTGGAACAATGCATTACCATTATAAGAACATGTACAGAGCGCAATAATTAGGTTGTCACCCCCAAGGTCAAGGTCAAATTAAAGGTCAAATGTATAAAAGTCTACATTTGGTATCCTCTCCACAACTTTTAAACCTCTGGTTTTTTAAAAGCTTGGCACAAGTAATCACCATTATGAGGCAATGTGCAGAGCGCAATAATTGGGTTGCTATCCCTAAGGTCAAGGTCAGAGTTAAAGGTCAAGTGTTAAAAGGTATACATTTCGTGTCCGCTTCATAACTTAAACCACTGAAAAGTTCTTTAAATAACTTAACACAAGTGATCACCATTATGAGACGATGTACAATTGCTACACCCAAGGTCAAGGTCACACTTACAGGTCAAATGTTTGAAAGTTTACATTTCGTGTCTATCCATAACATTTAAACCGCTGCAATTTTTTTAGATAACTTGGCAGAAATGGTCAACATTATGACGCCATTAGCAGAGCACAGTAATCAAGTCACAATCCTAAAGGTCAGGGTCACACTCAAAGGTCCAATGTAAAAACATCTATTTTTCATGTCCACTCTATAACTTATTGACAATTCAAAGGTTTAAAATTACTTGGCACAAATAACCCCACCATGACACAATCTGCAGAGCTCAACATCCAGGCTTCTACCCCCAAGGTCAAGGTTATATGTTCTTCATAACTTTTTTTTACTTTATGGAAGATTTTAGATAACATGGAACAAATAATCACCATCATGTGCTTATGATATTACGGTGGCATAGAGGGGACATCAGAAATATTTTATCTATCACGTCCGCACGCGATGGGGGACATCAGAAATATTTTATCTATCATGTACGCACGCGATGGGGACATCAGAAATATTTTATCTATCACGTGCGCACGCGATTGGGACATCAGAATTATTTTATCTATCACGTGCGCACGCGATAGCTACTACGTGCGCACGCGATAGCTACTACGTGCGCATGCTACTAGCTACTACTAATACGTGTGCACGCGACAGCTACTATGTGCGCCCGCGACAGCTACTATGTGCGCACGCGTTAACTACTACGTGCGCACGCGATAACTACTACGTGCGCACGTAATACCTTCCATTTCTAAAATGGACAGGGAAGTGCTTATTCATGACTTGTTTGAAATTAAAAGCTATCGCGTGCGCACGTAATAAATTGAACGTGCGCACGTAGTAGCTATCGCGTGCCCACGTAGTAGTCATTGCGTACGCACGTGGTAGCTATCGCGTGCGCACGTGGTATTTAAATATTTTCCGATGTCCCCCATCGCGTGCGCACGTGACAGATAAAATATTTCTGATGTCTCCCATCGAGTGCGCACGTGATAGATAAAATATTTCTGACTTCCCCTCTATGCCACCGTATGATATGCATGGCATAACATCAAGGTCGTGGCTGGTAAATGGTCAAGATGTACACATTCATGCTCACTGTGGAAGGGGATTTAGCTGTCCTTCAGAATGCCTTGTTTAATTTGACTTTTGATGTCTTACATGTGATATACAGGCTTCATTACCTGTGGTCCCCTTTCAAAATCCATTTTATTTAGTTTCGTTCATCGTTTTTCTCGTTTAAAAATCCATTTACTTGAGAGACCAATCGCCGATTGTAAATGTACTGCACTTCGTGTTACATAAAACATTCCATAAAGATCGCCGTATGAACACACCATTTCTGCGAATGATCTTAATTAAGAATTTCGTTATTTCTGTTTTTAATGTTGAATTCTGATTAAGGCGATGCTAATGGGTGTGGACGGTAGCTTCCAGTTATCACTACTGCCTTTGATCAGGCTCCATCAAACCGAGCCTGCAACATTTTCAATTTTGCTGTTCCGGGCGTAATATAGGTTTCCGTTTTTGACCATTTCAGAGAAATTCAAACCACCACTGAATATGATGAGATCGTAGACAGGTACAATAAACTACCCTACTAAAAAAGACTAAACGAAATAATTGGAATAATTTGATTATCTATTGATTTTGACATTTTTCAATTTGACAAATTTATGTACCACTTATTTAAATGTTTCAAAGTCGAGTTCGACAAATAATCAAATAGTACATGGTTCCGCGCAACTAAAAACAACAACGGCCGCTCTTAACACTGAAAGTGAAGGTGAGTCAACAGATCTACATGTAACTTTTTCTTTGACTCTGAAATTGGCTACAATTTTCAGGACATGACGTTTTTTTTCACCAAAAAGGAGTTTTGAAGTAAATAAATATCCCTAAAGAAATAAATTGTATAGTAAACGATATGTACATATTTAAGAATTTCAAATATCTGACGCAAATTTGATACATTTTATGTACTACTTATAGATAGTCCTAGAGAAATCAATGGTGTATGAAAAGATATGTACACATATAAAAATTTCAAATATCTGATGCATGTGTGCACGGTCATGAATCGGCTCGGGCTCGTTTTTTTATGAAACAATCGTTTTTACTATTTTTGATTCAGCAAATAATTTTTTTATTAACTTCACCTCAACACGGGACAGTAAGCTAAATTCAAATTGATTATGGCATAGCTATTCACCAAACCGCCCGCGGAATAGTTTCATTTATATCCTATACATACAAGATGAAATTTTCGTGTACATTCAATTTTCACATGATCAAAATAACGCATTGAAATAAAAAAAAAAATTAACAATATATGTACGTTAGCGCTCTTATGCACGTTACGCCTACCGTTATTTATACGTTACGTTGTAGACGTCACATCCTGTTTACGTTATGTTTTAATATAACAAATAAGATACGAACCTGGAAAGACGTATTCCTATACTACACTATAACGGATCTCGTTACTGGTTCCGTGAACAGAAATCAACAAAATGGAAAGACATATTCTTGTTATACCTCAAAACGAAGTTTGGAGAGGGGGGTATATAGGAGTCACCCGGTGGTTGGTCGGTCGGTCGGTCCAGCTGTCCGTTGCATTTTCCTTGTCCGGAGCATAACTTGAAGACTAATGGTTGGAATTCAGTGCAACTACATACAATTGTCAAGCACATTGAGAGAAAGTGCAGTGCACAAGTACCATAACTTCGTCTTCACTAATCATAGAGTTATTGCCCTTTGTTACTTTTCCTTGTCCGGAACATAACTTGAAAACTACTGGTTGGTATTCAAAACAACTTCATACCATGGCCAAGCACAATAAGGGGAAGTGCAGTGCACAAGAACCATAACTCTATCTAAAGTTATTACAGAGTTATTGCTTTTTTGTTAATATTCCATTGCTTTCTTTTGTCCGGACCATTACTTGAAGACTAATGGTTGGAATTCAATATAACTTCATACAACGGTCAAACACATTGAGAGAAAGTGCTGTGCACAGGAACCATAACTCCATCTTCACTAATTACAGAATTGTCGCCCTTTGTTACTTTTCCTTGTCCGGAGAATAACTTGAAAACTACTTGTTGGAATTCAAAATAACTTCATACAATGGTCAAGCACAATAAGGGAAAGTGCAGTGCACAAGAACCATAACTCTATCTTAATTAATTACAGAGTTATTGCCCTTTGTTACTTTTCTTTTGCTTTATTTTGTCTGGACCATAACTTGAAGACTTATGGTTGGAATTCAATATTACTTCATACAATGGTCAAGCACTGTTCCTACATTACTATTTTAATATGGTTTTATATCATAGATCTGATGCTCTTGGACCTCTACATTTTTTTTCAAATTAAGCCCTCATGTCAAAATTGGCCCTGTCCAGGGGAACATTGATTTTCACTTTAAAGTAGCCATTTTCTTAAATATCCTGCAACTGAATATTTTATGGTTTTATATCCAAGGTCATTCAACACAACATCATTGTTGTTCTAATGGTATTTTTGGTTTCTTCTAATTGATTAATATCTTTTTTATTTACTTGAATATTGTTTATAATATGAAAAAGGCAAAGCCTCAAAGCGAGCTCGATGTACTTTTAACTTGAAATACTTCAAATGGTATGAAATAATCGCTCATTTTTTTAAATTTTCCGTTTTAAAATTGTCATTCGGTATTTTATACACTGCTTCCGTTTATTCTGGTTCCCTCCTATTAAATAAATATAATTAATGTATTTTATCATTTGCGCTACGTGAATTACCTTAATTTACAGGAAGAAAGAAGGAATCGGCTCGACTGTTGTTTCAATGTTTGTAAACAAATGCAGTGACGAGTGCGTGTGACGTAACACGTACTGTGATGGCTTTTCTGTGTTTTTTCTAACACGACAAGAAAAAATATAATTATTATTATAATGTTGGACTTTATGTTTGGGTGGTTAAATTTGTTTTCGCCTCAGAGTTTCCAATAGAAACGTTCTTTAGAGTCTCTGTTCCAGTGGTATAAAAAAGGCTGTTTCAGTGGTATGAAAAAAAACTGTCGTTAAATCTTACGTGTGTAGAATAACGAATTTTGAAAACGTTGATAAAACTTTGTTTGTTTATTTTATTTCACTCTATAATTTTTCAAGCGAAATAAAGATTATTAAAAGTGAAATAAATGTAAAACTAAACACGTTTGCGACATTAAAATAGCGTACCCGATTTGATTGTTTTGCACGTGCTGTTAGGCGCTACATTGTGACGTCACGTTAACAATACTTTAAACGTCTGTACAGCGTTAACGACTGAATAAAAGATATGAGTGTTCGGATTCATTTTCTTAATTAGTCTATTTTCTTTCATTCTAGATAGTTTTCACATCAAAATTCGACAAAAAATTGTTTGGATTTATCAGATTTTTCAAACAAAATGGCGCCCTCAATGTAGGGAGATAATAAGAACGGCGAGTGCATTGTTGTCGGGCCTTCTTTGTTTATACGATAGTGTTAGACTGTTTTGTTTGTTGAAAAAAGAGGAGGTAAATGTACATTTAATGAAATCCGGCAAAACCTATGTACGGGAAAAGTCGGTTAAAGTAATCGTTTTATTTTCATTTTACATTTTCCGTTTTAAAACTGGCATTCGATATTTTATACACAGCTTCCGTTATTCTGGTTCCCTGTCCAATTATGGTTCCCATAGAAGTGCGCGGGTGACCAGTCTACACATCCGTTTTCAGTCAGAATTCCTCAGTTTTTATCGTTATCTTTAAATTCGAAAAGTTGCGATGTGTCATATCAGTACTTCGGACGAAAGTTTTCAAAACCATCACTTAGCAGGTACTCGCGTTACCGTAAAGCTCGCTTTGCGAGCAGGCCCTTCGGGCCTGCTCTTCGAGGTCGCTATCAACCTAAGCATATGTTGCCTGCTTTTTAAACTTAATTTTCGATGTCTTATCCATGATATGCGGCGCGTCCGTGGCAGAGTGGTTAAGGTCGTTGATTTCTAACCACTTGCCACTCGCCGCTGTGGGTTCGAATTTTGACAGGGACTCTTGGATTCTTGTGAAGAAGCTATCGAGCTAGCTTACGGAACATCGGTGGTTCTACTCAGGTGCCTGCGAGAAATAATGCACAGAAGGGCACCTGAGGTCTTCCTGCACCAGTAAAGTTGGAATGTGGCCATGTGATCTGTACTGTGTCGGTGTGACGTAAAACCCAATCAAACAAAAAAATCTATGATATTGACATGCAGACTTCATAGCACCTGGTCTCCTTTCAAAATTCCATTTTATTTAGTTTCGTACATTGTTTTTCTCGTAAAGGGCAAACGTATTTATTTACTTGGAGACCAATCGCGACTTGTAAATGAATTGCACTGCATTTCACGTTAAACTTTCCATAAAAAGGCTTTATGAACATATTTGCGAGTGTTCTAAATTCAAAATTTTTCTATTTGTATTTTTATACATTGAATTCTGCTTAAGCGATGCTAGATGGTGTTGACTTCCAGTGCTTTCAGACTGAATCAAACCAAATCTGCAACATTTTCAATTTTGCCGTGTCTAGAAATTATATAGGTTTCCATGTGGGACCATTTTAAAGAAAGTCAAACCACTGAATATGAGATTGCAGACAGGTTCAATGAACTACCCGTCTAAACGAGACTAAACACAGTATCTGCAATAATTAATAATTCGATCGTTTATATATTTTGACATATTTCAAGTTTGAGAAATTGTGTGTACCAACTATTTTAATGTTTTTAGCCAATAATCAGAATGAAGCTGGTTCTGCTCAACTACCAAGTTCAACGCAACCTTTCATCGATCAAAATGAAGGTGAGCCAATAGATATAAATGTTATTTTTCTTTGACTCTGCAATTGGCTACAATTATCAAGATATTAAGCATTTTAACACAAAAGAATGTTAATGTTAACGAATATCTTTAGGGAAATTAATAGTATAGGAAACGATATGTACATATTTTAGAGTTTCAAATATCTGAAGCTAGTTTGTCAAATTTTGTGTAAAATTTACATTATTGTTTCAGACTCAAGTTTTCCAAATACTCAGAATGAAGCTGTTTCCGCTCCACTACCTCCACCTATAACTGAAAATGGCGGTGAGCCAATAGATCTACATTTTACTTTTTCGTCGCTATAACTTGCCGGATATTAAGCATTTTTCAACAGAAAAGAATGTTGAAGTAAAAAATAGCCATAAGAAAATTAATGGTATAGGAAACGATGTGTGCATATATATTATATAAGAATTTCAAATGTCTGATGCAAGGTTGACACATTTTGTGTAAAACTTATTTAATGGTTCAGACTCAAAATAGGCCAATTATCAGAATGAAGCTGCTTCCGTTCAACTGCCAAGAACACCTGATCCATTTATATCTCAGAGTGAAGGTGAGCCAATGTACATGTCCATGTACATTCAATCTTCACATGATCAAAATAACGCATTTAAATAAGGAAACTGCGTTACCATTTTTCTGATTTTGATCAGATTTAAAAATTTAAAAGAAATAATAATGTTTAGTTCATATGGCGACGCTCCAGCTTTACTAGTGCAGGTGCCCTACCATGTATTATATCAAGCACGAACTCGTATGAGTCCATCGGAGTATGTTTCTCATTCAAAGGTTTATAACATTGGTCTTACTTTTACAAAGTGTATTCATGTGCAAAACCTGTGAAATCTATGCATAACTCCCTGTTCTTAGTTTATGAATTGGTCCCTGAGACTAACAGGCGAAAATTAATTATTAAAAAAAAATAAACCAATCTGATGTTGAGATATTCAGTTCAAAGAAATGTTATTAGACAGATATAATCTTAGATAACTTAAAGAAGTTGAAGAGTTTAAGGAAAATGCAGCCCGAAAAGCAAACCTGTCACACAAGTAGGGAGGGTATTTAGAAAGTACATCAAAAGCGAGAAGGGCACAAGGGTGGAGACATGTCAATAACTATTACTAAAAACTATTTAGAAATTAGATATTAATAAGTGAAATGATAAGAACTAAAACGGCTAATACGGAAATTATAGGGACAATGCTTGAGTGTATTGAAAGGGGTGGGGCACAAAATAGAATATAAGTGAAAATGGAAAGAAAGTATTTAACGACAATGTAACAGGATAGGACACCATAGACCGTGTCAACGTACAAAACATGTAAACAAAAATACACAATTATACATAAATGTGAAGGAACAATAGAGATTTTCATTTCCGTAACAATTAAATGTCTAAACTGGGATCTTTAGAAATAATTCTGTTTTTAAGGCCAAACAGAAAAGGGGTGCGTAAATTTTAATCCATTTTAATTCAGCTATGCGTCTATGTTTTTACTTTAAAACTAGACAATTTATCAGAATCGTAAATAATTTCTTTTACTGACTTAGTTGTTACATGTTAGAAAGAATGACCAAAGTTTCTTAAGTTTTGATACAAAAGAGTAGAAAATTGGCTTAAACTATTTTTGTACGATTCTGTACGTGTTGTATTATGCCCCCGAAAGGAGGCATATTTAAATCGCACCGTCCGTCTGTCCACTCTCAATAATGAGGCTAGAGGGACTATAGGTAACTGTTCTTTCTCTTTGATGTCATTCATTCCGTAATGATTTTATGTGGCTTTTTATACCCCCGCACAACGAAGTTGTAAGGGGGGTATACTGGAATCAGCTTGTCCGTCCGGACGTCACCAGTCCGTCCGTCGGTTTTTCCTTGTCCGCCTAATAACTTGAGATTTCTTTGGCATACATTCTTCATATTTGGCAAGGAGGTTAGTCATGATTAGTAGATGACCCCTATTGATTTTGGGGTCTCTGGGTCAAAGGTCAAGGTCACAGGGGCCTTGACTTTAAAAAGCTTGTCCACCCAATAACTTTTGATTCCTTTAGCCCACATTCTTCATATTTAGCATGGAGATTAGTCATGATAAGTAGATGACCCCTATTGATTTTGAGGTCACTGGGTCAAAGGTCAAGGTCACATGGGCCTTGACTAAAACAACATTGCCCGCCAAATAACTGGAGATTCCTTTGACCCACAGTCTTCATATTTGGCATGGAGGTTAGTCATGATTAGTAGATGACTCCTATCGATTTTGGGGTCGCTGGGTGAAAGGTCAAGATCAGGGGCCTTGACTCCAAAAAGCTTGTCCGCCCAAAAACTTGAGATTCCTTTGGTCCACAGTCTTCATATTTGGCATGGAGGTTAGTCATGATTAGAAGATGACCCCTATTGATTTTGAGGTCACTGGGTCAAAGGTCAAGGTCTCAGGGACTATGACTTGAAAAACTTTGTCCGCCCTATAACTTGGGATTCCTTTGACCCACAGTCTTCATATTTAGCATAGAGGTTAGTCATGATTAGTAGATGACCCCTATTGATTTTGAGGTCACTGGGTCAAAGGTCAAGGTCACAGGGGCCTTGACTAAAAAAGAAGTTTTCCGCCCAATAACATGAGATTCCTTTGACCAACATTCTTCATATTTGTCATGGAGGTTAGTCATGATTAGTAGATGACCCCTATTGATTTTGGGGTCTCTGGGTCAAAGGTCAAGGTCACGGGGGCCTTGACTTTAAAAAGCTTGTCCGCCCAATATCTTGACATTCCTTTGACCCACAGTCTTCATATTTGGCATGGAGGTTAGTCATGTTTTAATAAATGGCCCCTATTGATTTTGAGGTCACTTGGTCAAAGGTCAAGGTCACAGGGGCCTTGACTAAAAAAACTTGATTTTAGAACTTTCACATTTGAAGCATGGAGAATACATATCTTAGCAATGCACTGGCTTAGTAACCTCAGATTTTGCAGGGTGGTTGTCCTTGAATTCTAAATGGCAACTGTTGATTATGACAAAGTGGTATGCGGGGGTATTCACGCCATGACAGTGGCAGTTCTAGTTTCTTTTGGGTGGCTAAAAAGAACAATAGAGAGAGAGAGCAATAGAGTAGCCACATTATTACTGTCCCGTTAGAACGTCAGTATGTCTGTCTGTCCGCACTACCGAATAGGGAAAGGGGGCAATCCAAGTGTAAACAGAACAAAAGAGAACAATAGAATTCATTCCGTAACAATAGAAAAAAGGGCTGTGGCCCTCTATTTAACAAAAGAAAATAACAATAGAAATGTCCCTTTATACCATTTTGGTCGGTCGGGCGTCCGTCTGTCTGTCTGTCCGTCCGTCTGTGCGTCCCCCACTTCATTCGTGTCCGGACTTTAACTTTGTCATACATTGAGGGATTTTTAAATAACTTGTTACAAATGTCTACCACATCAAGACGATGTGTCGCATCCGAGAACCACGTCCCTAGCTCAAAAGTCAAGGTCACACTATCATTTTGAAGTTTCACATGATCACAATTAGAGTAAATATGTTCACTTATTCGTGTCCGGACTGTAACTTTGGTCATGTATCGAATGATTCTAAACTTACTAGGCATAAATGTCTACCACATCAAGACGATGTGTCGCGTTCAGGAATAACATCGCTTCCTCAAAGGTCAAGGTCACACTAACATTTTGTAGTTTCACATTATAACAATTAGAATTAATAGGAACACACAACCGTGTCCTGGGTGTAATTTTGTCATGCATCGAAGGATTTTAGAATAACTTAGCATTAATGTCTACCACATAGAGACAATGTGTCGCGTCCAAAAATTATGTTCCTACCCTAAAGTCAAGGTCAATCTTACATTTTGAAGTTTCTCTTTATAACACTAATATTTTATAGGTACACACATTTGTGTCCGGACTGTAACTTTGTCATGCACGGAAGGATTTTAAAATATCTTGGCATAAATGTCTACCTCAACAAGACCAATAATCATCTCCCTACCTCAAAGTTCAGGATCACACTACCATTTTGAAGTTCACTCTATCACAATTAGAGTTTATAACAAACATTTGTGTCCGGACTGTAACTTTGTCATGCATCGAAGAATTCTAAAATAACTAGGCATAAATGTCAACCACTTCAAGACGACATGTCGGGACTAAGACCCATGTTCCTATCTTCAAGGTCAATGTCACACTAGGAGTTTGAAAGTACTCATTCTCTAGAGAAGAGTTTGATACATTCATGTCCGGACTGTAAATTTGTCTTGCATGGAAGGATTCTTTTAGTTACTTGGCACAAATGTCTACAAGACGATGTATAGCGGCTAGGGCTCATGTCGGTCTGTCCGTGCGTGTGTCCCCACTTACACAGCAATCTTGTCCATACTGTCACTTTGTCATGCATTGTGGGATTTTGAAATAACTTGTCACAAATGTCTATCTCATGACAATATTCTGTCGCGTCCAAGAACCACGTCCCTTCTTCAAAGGTCAAGGTCACTTATATTTCGAAGGTTTACGCTATCACAATTAGAGATTATAGGGACAATAATACAAAGAACAATATTAAGGAATCAGTTACTTTCATTCTCTTTTCTTTTCATAATACCTGCATGCTTGAGAAATCTGTTCACATGTGTGACAGCTCTTGTTTTCTATCTGCAAATGATCACAATAAAGGGGTACCACATTGACACGAGAAAAGCACACCATTATTTGTCTGTAATAACAAATACAGTAAGTCTATTTTAAAGTTTCAAACTGGTCCGATATCAATGTATAATACATTAGCAACTTTCTATAATAAAAAGAAACCTGTCTCAAAACACGAATTTATCGATATTTCAAAATATTTGAAGAAATGAACTATGCAAGTATGATTTTGATGAATATTTGGCATCGGAAACTTATTTTGACAAAAAGGTATTTGACCTTGAGGTTTTCGTTGGTAAGAATATGAAAGTCTCTAGTAGGAGATTGATCAAAAAGTTCTTGACCCGATGTACTTCCGGTGGTCAGAGAACCCAACTAATGGTCTAACTTTTCAATATAATCTCCCTTTTCATCAATGCACTTTGCCACCTGTTCTCCAACTTTTTTAACCCTTCAAAACATAGAACTCTCTATTTTGGTCCTCAAAGAACTAATTGACCCCCTCCATGACACCTTCATCGCTTCCAAAACGTCTTCCACGATGCTTCGTTTTCAGTTTTGGAAACAGGTAGAAGTCAGAGGGGACCAAGTCCAGAGAATATGGGGAATGCGAAAGCATTTCAAAGTCGCAGTCAGTTGCAGCAGCCATCGCAAATTGTGATGTGTGAGATGGTGCGTTGTCGTGCAGGAGCAAAACGCCTTGAGTCAGTTTGCCCATCCTTTTACGCGCGATTTCTTGATGCAGACGTCTCAATTCGTCTGCAAAGTATGTACCCTATATGGTACGACCTTGCTCAAGATGTCAATCATAATTATCCCCTGACTATCCCAAAAATTGAAGCCATCATCTTACCTACTGATGGCACCCTCTTGAATTTCTTCGGAGGGGGTGAACCAGGGTGCTTCCACTGCATGTTTTTTTTTATTCTGGATCGAAGTGATCGACCCATGTTTCATCCTGAGTTATGATTCCGTAGATAAAGTCAGATTCATTCATCCTCTGGCGAGACAAAAGCCTGGTCCGTTTCTGGTCGTCAGTCAACTGTCTTGCGACTAATCTTATGGAAACCTTTGACATGCCATAGACATCAGTTAGAATTGCCTGTCCTGAACCAAAGCTTATAACCACTTCCCTTAAAATGTTTGGTAGGTCTCTCCTTCTGACGTACATGACCAGATCGTGCACAGCTTCGGCAGTTTCATCGTTGGTGACCTCTATTGGCCGCCCATGCCGCTCATAATCTACAATGCTCTCCCTGTCCCTCTTACATTCAGCTACCCATGTTGTCACAGCGCTATAGTGAAGAGACTTCTTCCAAAGTGTATCATTGAAGTCTTCATTGATTTCCTTGGGGGCATCCCTTTCTTACAGATGTACTTAATGACGGCTCTGATTTCAACTTTCTCAATTTGGTCTAAATGACACACCCCGCTACTGATCAATGTGTGATTTGTGTTACTTAATCTGTGTAAACCCAAACAGGATCTTTAAATAAGCTTCCTTTCTACCAAGTTTGATAACATTAAATCATTTTTAAGTCTTGTTATTGTCCAGAAACCATTTTTATATTTTAGTAACAGTGACCAAATGCGATAGTGGCAAAATCAGAGGGTCCAAATGCAATACCAACCCAAGTTTTCATATAAGCTTACTTAAGAGCAAGATTGATCACAATATCTCATTCCTAACTACTCTAGTTATTGTTCAAAAACATTTTTAGTAACGGTGACCGTAACCTTTATCCGTGAAAGTACAAACACAATTTCAACCAAGGTCTTCATGTAAGCTTGCAAAATACCAAGTTTCATTACAATATCTCATTTTTGTCCCTTGGGGTCCAAATACAATACAAACCTTGGTCTTTATAAAGCTTACTATATTGCAAGTTTGATCACAATATCTCATTCCTAACTATTTTTCTACTTTCAGAAACGGTGACCTTTACCCTGACCCTAGGGGATCCGAATGCAATTACAAGTCTTCATATAAGCTTTCTAAATACCAACTTTGATTACAATATATATTCCTACGTCTATTTATTGTCCGGAAACCATTTTTCTCTTTTAGTCACCTTTACCCCAGGGGACCCAAAAGCAATACCAACCGGGGTTCCACATAAGGTTGTTATAAACAATATCTCATTCCAATCTCTAGTTGTGCATTTTAATTACATAACAATAAGTGCCCCCCCCCACACACACACACACCAGAACCCCAGACCCTGGGGCCTTGAAATTCACAATTTTGGAAAATACATCCTCTGTTACATAACTATGCATTTATTTCGTTTCCTAAATACCCAGGAGCAGAGGAAAAGATGTTTTAAGATATATTGTACTTTCACTATATATTGAATAGTTATAAAGCACCCTGCCCTAGCACCAGAATCCCTGACTCTGGGATAATGAATTTCACAATTTGGTTGAGGGCTTTATGCTAATTACGAGCATGTAAACAGTTAGACTGCTTTGTGCCCAAATTGCATTAACTTTTATGGTTTAGCCCCCCCCCCCCCCGTATGCCCCAGGGAGGCAGGGGACATTAATTTCACAATTTTTGTTTCTTTTTACCCATAAATGCTTTATGCCAAAATTGGTTGAAATTGGTTAAGTGATTAAGTGGTTCCAGAGAAGAATCTTAAAATGCTAAAATGACAACAGGCACGACTTACAACGCATGACGACAGAAAAAAAGGATAGCAATAGGTCACCTAAGTTTACTCAGGTGATCTAAAAAATGCGTGTCCCTAAACGAGAAAACAATTGGCAGAACTAAATAAAATTCAAGGTTACAAATTCTGTGTACCATCTATGTATATGTTTCAGAGTCAAGTTTGGCCGCCAATAATCATAATGAAGATTGTTCCGCTCAACCACCAAGACCAAGAATTTCAGGTGTAACTGAAAGTGAAGGTGAGTCAACAGATCTACCTGTAGCTTTTTACTTTGACTCAGCTATTGGGCACAATATTCCGGATATTAACAGTTTTTGTAGAACAAAAGAGAATTGAAAAAAATATATATTTAAGGAAATTAATGGTATAGGGAACGATATGTACATATATAAGAATTTCAATTATCTTTTGCAAGTTTGACACATTTTGTCATAACTATTACCAAGCCGCGGAATAGTGGCATTTCTATCCTATAAATGCAAGCTCAAAATTCAACATTCAATTTTCACATTATCATAATAGCGCATTGGAATAAGGAAACTGCATCACCATTTTTCTGAATATTTTGATCCAATATAAATGTTTAAGTATGAGCCCATCGGAGTATGTTTCTCATTCAACATTTTTTGACCTTTTCATGTATAGTTATTAAATTCTAGCCAATCTTGTGCTATGTGCTCGCGGTGCTGTGTGTGCATGGTCGTTGAATGCATCTTGCATTTACCATTGTCGACACCACGAGTTTTCTCAATCAAACCTAGCTTGCAAAGTTTTAATTTTGCCTGTTTTGTAAGGTTTTGTTTTCATAATTCTGCAAGTTTTTAATTACTAATTTAATTAATTTATTAATTTCAATCGAGGCTGAGATTTTCACCAATTGCAATAAGTCTTCCCATTCATTGATCCATGATAAATTGTCCGAATGGTTTAATCACTTTTCGTATTTTTTACTGAAATGCTGGATTCTAACTTTTGAAATTCAAAATATGTGAAATTTAATGTATATCAATATTTTACAAATATTGCAGTTTCATTACAATATATTTCAGGAAGTGAGACCGAACATGCAATACCACCAACAGTATCAGTTTCGAAGCGTAACAACATAAGATGAAAGAGATACTTTTTTAAATACGCATGTAACCTGTTTAAAGGCTGATGATCAATTGAAAAGCTTGTTACATTCAATCATATAGACTAGTGCAATATTTGAAAAAAAAATTTAGATTTTTTTCGTAAATACAATTTTTTTACATGTTAAGTACTTTTTTAACTTGTTCTAGTATTACTACTCAAATACTGTATAATCATTTGTAGGGTATGTTGCATGTTTTTTAAATTTGTCTTTTGAGATTTTTTTGTGATATGTAGGCGCCTGATAACCTCTGATCCTCTTTCAAAATTCCATTTTATTTTAGTTCCGCCCACCATTGATTATACGCCATTTTTTGTGCAGGGGGGGGGGGGGATGCCGCTTTTCATGAAATGGCGCCAAGGTGTCACATTTAAAGTTTCATGATGACCGCCGTGAACATCTACGAATGTTTCTAAATTCACAACTTTAACCATATCATGTTAACAGTTGAATTCTGCTTAAGCCAGTGCCAGACGGCGTGTAGATCAACATGCACTTTCCAGTCCAGTCCTTTAACAAAACAGGCTAAATCAAACCAAGTCTGGGTCATTATTAGTTTCGTCGTGTTTTTTTTTTCGTTTCTTACAGAGTCAATTTTTCTCTATTTGTACTGGATCTGAATTTTGAAGTTACATTGAAATTACATAATAGGAAATAATAGAATATGGTAAACAAGATCAACATGGAAAGGCGGCGTTCAATGAACGCATCCCCAACATAACCAAGCAACAAGAACCAGTGGCATAGCCCAGGAGGACCTCAAACAAAAACAGGACAGGGCGAAAGGCAGAGTACGGACAGGCTAATCATTTAAATGCTACTTAAAAAGAATAATAGTAACCGACAAGGAATTATAAGAAAACAATAATAAAATGATACTTCAAAAGAGATAAAAGTACTATTGGGTAGTTTAAACCGGTTAATGGTGCACCGAACCTCACTCTTAGCCCCACCATGCTGCTATAAACGAGACATTGTAAATAACACGAAAACTCGTCAAGCGAAATTCTAACAGTTGTTATGATTACAAAAGGTGAAAATAAGTAAAACACAGAAATGATCATGTAAATACATACATAGGTACATTACCATAACAAAATTACCCGATGTCTTAACGGAAGACAGAGCAACAAGAAAATCACCTACAAGGGTCCGACGAAGCAAGACAGACAACGAACATTAAGACATATCAGTCCAAAAGGGCTTGAAGTACTGTCCATCATAGTCTCCTACTTGGTCTGTCAGATGTTATCAAAAATGGAAAGCGTAGTGTCCAACTGTAAAAAGGTTGAACACTAAGTGTTACAGGTGCTTCAATTACTATAGATAATATAAATAAAATCCTGAAACAGTATTTTGTCTTGTATTTGATTTTTCCCTCAAATATATCATCCAGTCATTAAAACATCTTTGTAGCTTAACTAGACTATGTAGCTGTAGGCCGAAGCATAGTGTGTAGGATGCCGTTTCAGGTAACATTCTATTTATCTATCTCTCTAACTGTGCACTTTACACCTTATTCTATTGTTATGCTAAATATTTGACTGTATTGACCAATCGCAATGTACAATATCGATGAGACTACCATGTTATCATTGAATTGTATATCCGATTGAGAAATACATTTGAATAATTGCAAAATATATATTGTTTTATATATATTTTCCAGGTAATTTTTATAGCATTGTGTTTGAAATACATGTTTCTACAATATTGTATGTTAATATGTAAATCTGTTTCGTAAATAATGCTTTTGAAGATGTTTTTCTATGCGTCTTTGTGTAAACTATATACGTCGCCATATTTGTTCATTGTTTACATTGACAACATCGATGAGACTACCATGTTATCATTGAATTGTATATTCGGTTGAGAAATACATTTGAATAATTGCAAAATATATATTGTTTTATATATATTTTCCAGTAAATGTCCGCCGTCAGTCCAGTTTACAACCCTCACTCCTCAGTCGACGCACTTATAAACCTTATCTACAGAATCATATGACATATATATGAGACCCATACTGTAACAATTGCAGTTTGTCTTAAAATAAAAGGCTCATAACCTATTTAATAAAACGTTTAATGATTTTAGTAGAAACAGCAGGAAAATCACAATCAACCAAACTCCTACGAAATCACATCGTCATAATAATCAGGCTGGCTAGTCCCTTGTCGCAGAAGTGTTTTTAAATCACTACTGACTTTTGAAATAAAATCAAAATTACGATTGTAAAATTTTTGTATTGATGGCGGTAGTCCTGCTTTAGAAGCTTGCTTATAATGAATCGTTGAAATCCTTTACGTTTCTACAAGCTCTAGCTGAGAAACATATACCCCGTATGAAGTTGAATGGGGTACGTTTCTTAATGTGCATATTTAACTATACAAAAATCAAAGTCATCTTTTTTATCATATATTTTCGTGTGAATAGAATTGTTGTTGACGATTTGTTGATGAAGATCCAAAAATGATGTTCTAAAATTCTAAGAGTTTGTTTTATAAAGTTATAGCTCATGAGGATAAATATATGACACCATTTGATAAAAATATGAATTATCTAATTAAAAATACCATCAAGGTATCTGGAAGCATTTTTAAATGCTACTATAACATCTTGTTGTGTATCTTCAGAGGGACTCGACATAATGTCTCTTTCATAGCAGTACAAAACCAAATCGGAGACCAAAGGTGCACAATTCCTACCCATAGGAATTCCTATGATCTGTTTAAATAGGGTATTACCAAACTTGACATAAATGTTGTCTAAAAGAGAGTGCTCTACAAATTTCGTCACGAACCGACAAGAAAATTAAAGAAGGCGATTAATAAATCGGCCCTCAAAAGTAAAGGGGTGAAGGGGGGGTGGGGGTAATTGAGAGTCGGAAAGTGGGGGAGCAAATTTGAAACATTAAACAAAACTAGGGACAAAGGAAAAAGGGAATATACATACCGTAGACGAGAAAAAAACAAGGAGGGACACAAAAGTGTCACCATCATGGTTTGAAACAACAAACAAGTCATACATCTGAGAACACAGAGGGTCAGCAGCCTACGCACTGCTGGGGAGTTTAAACCTGTTACTGGTGCACCAAACCTCACTCAATATGTACTTTTTAAACAAGACAGTGGAAATAAAATGAATCCCAGCGGAGCGAAATTCTAACAGTTGTTATGGTATGGTGTATTAAGGAAAACACAGAACTGTTCGTGTACATTACCAAATAAAGTATTAGTACTCAATGTCTTAAAGGAAGACATATCAGCAAGAATATCACATACAAGAGCGCGACGAAGCAAGACAGAGGGGAATAATAAGACTATTCAGTCCACAAGGGTTTTAAGAACTGTCCATCGTTGAGTCTCCCACTTGGTCCGTCAGATGTAATCAAAAGAGGAAATCGTAGTGTCCAACTGTAAAAGGGTTGAACACTAAGAATGCGGTATGTCTTCACCTCTTTTAATAAAAACGTTCCATGAAAAGCGGAGTATGGTCCCCAAGTAATAGTAATAGATTCATGATTTGTCAGACAGGTGTAAAATTGAATATCTTAATAGAGGCAAAACCAATGTCGTTCATTTAACACTTTCCTTTTTTCGGTATTGATATTTTTTTTTTAACTTATTGCAATGATGTTTGAGTATAGATATACAAATGTAGATATTCTACTCAAAATTTGCTAAGGCTAATTATTTGTTTGTTTCGTCTTTAGATTTTTTTATTAAAAAATCCGATTGTAACCAAAGATAAAACCATAAACGGGCCTCATAAAATTGAAAGAGCAGATGGCGATTTGACATGAACACTATGCCCGGGAAGCCCGAGGAAAATCATACACATAGAAACTGACTACATGTGGCCTGATAGGCTGATACCGTCATGTACATTTTCACATTTACCATTGTTTCACTAACTCTATTGTTAAAGATCCTGTACGTTTTGGTAAACCTTTTTTTTTTTTTTTAATGCGTTTATTTAAGGTCGCCGCCGGAAAGCCCATATGGGCGACCGTACACTCAAGTCGGGTCATCCTAGAGCGTCCCGCCGAGATTTTTCGTCGATTTTTTTCCAGCTTTATTGGTGGAGGAAGACCCCAGGTGCCCCTTCGGGCATTATTTCAGGCACGAGCGGGCACCTGGGTAGAACCACCGACCTTCCGTAAGCCAGCTGGATGGCTTCCTCACATGAAAGATTTCGACCCGAGTGAGGATCGAACCTACAGCGGTGAGGGACCTGTGATCTCAAGTCAGCGACCTTAACCACTCGGCCACGGAGGCCCCCTATTGGTAAACCACACTAAGTGAAATTATATATATGTACATAATTATGCAAAATAAAACAATTTTCAAACATCGAAGAATATGTAAAACATGTACTGCAAATATTTGTGCATATTATATGTAATCATTAAAATATGTGCGTTCATTTCTTATTGTAAAATTTGACTTAAACTTTATAGAAAATAATTTTTTATAACCTCCCTTTATTTACATGAAATGTTAAATTCGATAATATCTTTATAAATAATGCTTTTTGGAACCTTCAATATTGATAAATCTTAATTTGAGCATCATAATAAAACCATACACAAATTGTGTTACAGGATCTTTAATCTTTGATGTACGTATGGCAGATTGACGGATACGAAGTTTTTAAGCGGAGCTACGATGAAGAGGGCCATTGGAATGTTTCTGGCTTGGACATCATAGCGACAAATTGCAAATATCTTTGTGTATCTCAAGAATGTTGAATCTAAATCTTACAACTGTCAATGTATTGCTTTTGCATCCCAAAGATCGAGAACGCTTAACCACTAAAGTTCAAGTCCTTTTTCTTGTCATTTAAGCATGGTGGCACAGATTTTGTAATGCAACACCGTTACAAGACGACTTGCAGAATATACCTTGTGTGCATAGAAGTACATAAAGCGTTAGAAATCGATTGCAGGAGGCAAGCTTGGGATCACAAAAGCCTGCAATGCGCATCCCATTGACATGGCAGCATGTTCAAAACCGTTTGAAATTGGCATGTAACTTCGATCCAAATTGACTGGGCTGCAATTTCTGCACTGCAGTTCCTCTCACAGATGAATCATTTTCTAAGTGGACTTCAGATGGAACAGTTTTTGGAGAATATCCCATGAGCGCTTTGCACCACTTTGTGTTTAAAACATGATCGTTTTGGTGGAGGTTCAATCATTTTATGGTAGGAAAACACGCTCTTTGGGACAACGGAGCTACGCGTGATTGAAAATGGCACACTAGCAGCTGAGAAATACGTCAATGAAATTTTGGATCATATGCAGGTGTTGTAGGTGATGATTTCATTCTAATGAAAGATAATGCCCGTGCACACAGGTCCCACATATCAAATTAATATATTAAACATGCTACAATTATTCGAATGGATTTGTCATTACCTAAATCCCAGAGAACATGCTTAGAACATGATACAGAGAGCGAATTTTTGTGTGAAAATTCTAACCAGCATCTTTTCACGAGCTCAGAAAGGCTCTCATAGAGGAATAAACTTGGAAGTTATATCAGCAGCAATGTCAGACCACAATTAATGCCTGCAGCCACCATATACGCTATTAAAATAGCTAAACTCTTAAATGTTGAATTTTGTCTGTATCCATAATTTTGGGATGTCTTCTTAAAAATGTTTATTGTCATCTGTCGCTTTCTTGATCATTTTTAACAGCAAATCAATAGCATACATACAAACGTTTCCCGCACAATAAACATTTTGCATGCACCCTCCTTAAAACCCAAAACAAATAAGTTTTAAAATGTGGTCAGCAATTTTTGAGTAGTAAGCTCATCTCTCCACAGAGTTGAGCCTGATTGCCGGCGACGTTATATTTAATTAATACTGCAAAAAGTTGTTCATTCTGATTTCAATCCTTTCAACTATAAGTTTATTATTGATTTCATGAATTTATTTCATGTTTCGAAAAATAGTATAGTCCAACAATATTGTCCTGGCACTTCATTAACTTTTCTAAAGGTCATTTAAATAAACATTGACCAGTATCTATCTAATACACATGTACATCTATTTTTATTGAATCATATTTACCTAGAAAATATTTCTGAATTTGAAATAAAAACAAGAGTACCGCAAAAGCGGGGCAATACTAAGGTATACATGTTTCAGTTATCAAAAATAATATTTCAATTAGGGAACAGACTAAAAACAGTTTACCCTAGGTGCATTGTTTATTAATCTTTTAGAGGTCTACTTAACAATGCAATATGCCAAATATAGATGCAAACAGATAAGATGTATTTTTATATGGGTTGGTCTACACAAAACAAGTGACTCCCAGGGCAGGTGGCCACTTTTACCTGAGGGTCATGGTTAATTAAACTTCTGTAGCTTATTCTGCCGACTTTAACTAGCACTGTCATATCTTCTAAGCGTACACTTCCAATCAGTTATAATCATTTTTAATCATATTTTTTTTTACTTCCGGTGATAAATTTATGGCGGTCATAACAAACATCGCTCTCGAAAAACTTCAAAGAATGTGATTTCTAAGTTAAAATTCGACTGTGTGATGAAGCCTGAATGTTTAAAAAACATTTCAGGTGACATAAATGATTTTTTGAAAACGTTGTATATTTACAAAGTTGTTATCATTTATGATGTTGAGTCGTGATAATCTTTG